CCATGGGTCAAGATCAACTTGAGGGAAGTTAAGAACAACAAAATGAATAACTATGAAGATTTGTTTTTATTCCTACATGTAGTCTGAAACAATATTAAGGGAGCCCTACAAAATGCCTGGGAGCATGTGTAGAAATGAGCAACCAAAATGATCAAAGTGTGGCGATCATGCCATTGAAACCTACCACTGTTTCCTGTTCCTTTGCCAATGAGAATCTGCCAGCAACACTTATCACACATTTGGGAAACTGATTCTCTCCCCCCGCCCCAATTATTTGCAAAAAACAGAAAGCACATCTGCCTACAAGTAAGAATTTGGAGACTAAAGGAAAATGTCATTGGGAGACACGATTTTTCTCAGAGAGGCAATCTTCTCATTTTCCCCCTCACCAGAGCTACACTTCTGAGTGTACTCCTAGCATCTGAAAGATTGTTATCCACAAAAGCTCATGCTAAAATAAACCTGTTGGTCTGAAGATGCCACAAGATTCTTTTTTTGATTTTCATGTTGACAGATATTAACATGGCTACTTGTGTAGCGGAGCGGTTTGAGGGCTAGACTACAACTCTGGAGACCAGGGTTCAATTCCCAGCTTATCCATGAAACCCACTACGTGACCTTGGGCCAGCCATACTCTCTCAGCCTCAGGGGAAGAATTCAAAGATATAGCCGTGTTAGTCTGTAGAAAGATCTTGTAGTACCTTTGAGACTGCTGAAAGAAAGAAGTTGGCAGCATGAGCTTTCGTAGACCTAAGTCTGCTTCCTCAAGCTGTCCAAATGCATCTGAGGAAGTAGACTTATGTCTATGAAAGCTCAAGCTGCCAACTTCTTACTTTCAGTTAGTCTCAAAGGTGCTCCAAGATCTCACTACATAGCCTCAGGGGAAGACAATGGCAAACCTCCTCTGAACAAATTCCGCCAAGAAAACCCCCATAATAGGTTCATCTTAGGGTTTCCATAAGTCAGAAACTACTTGAAGGCACACGACAACAATTTCTTTAAAAACCATTTCATACGAAGCTTCCCTACATTGAGTCAGACAATAGGCCACTGTTGTCAACCCTGACTTGGAAACAGCTATCTAAGGCTTCAAGTGGGATTTTTTTCCTAGGTTGACCTAGAGATTTCTGCTATTCATTATGGTCTTTCATCCAAGTACTAACTAATTGTCCTTTGCTTCTAAAATTAGACAAGATTGCGTGTGTTAAAGATGGTATAGTGGGACTTAGCCACTTTAATCTCCATTGGGAGCAGGCATTTTGTAAAGCTCGTGTGTCTTCATTGCCCGCTCAAGGCCAAGGCATTCCAAACTACTTTGCATTACTCACAACAATCTATTGTTGCTGAGAAAATCTCATGGCTGTGGGGATTTACAGCTAAATTCAGAGGGGTCAGGGAAACCTGAGAGAGGTGGGAGATTATGACATAGTCCCTGCTAATCAAAAAATCCTGTTGCTTTGGCCCTGTGAACCTTGGCTCCACTACATTGCTGGCTATGTGCCTTATGTATTCACTGCCAGAGGATGTGACGATGACCCCAGGCTTAAATGACCGATATGAGGTTAAACTCAGAGCTTGGGAAAGTTATTATTTTTTGGATTATAATTGTTAGGATTCCCCCAGCCAGTGTGACCATTGTGGTCAGGCTGGCTGGGAGACTCTTGGAGTTGTCATCCAGAAGAAGGAACTATTTGAAGCTCTGGGCATTTTCAGGGAAGCTAGATCTGCCGGTGTTCAATAGCCATAATTGTTTAACGGAGCTTCCATGTTCAGAGGCAGTGTATCACTGAATATGGATAGCTGGAGGAGAGGATGGACAGGATCTTTGGACTCTGCGTCTGTGCTTGTGGTCTTCTTGGATGGACCTCGGTTGTGTGTGAGCAAAGGGGTGTTAGATCAGACGGATCTTTAAGAATATGAGAAATGAACATGTACATTTTCGGATTCATTGGATGATAAGTTCCAACATCGCATCCACTGTGGTCATGATGGTAGGAATATGGAAACTGTAGTCAATATTTGGGAGAGTCAGCATGGTGTAGTGCAGGGGTAGGCAACCTTTTTGAGCCGGGGGCCGGGTTGCTGCCCCTCAGACAATTGGGGGCCGAAGCACCAAAAATAAATAAATAAATATTTTTTTAAAAAAATAATTTTTTTTAAAAATATGCATGCACACTCTCTCAGCCCCAGAAAAGCCATGGCAAAACCCCTGTGGAGATTTTGCCAAGAAAACTCCAAGAACAAGTAATAACAACAATAATCAATATCATCATGGCGGGCAGCAGTGGAGGGCAGTGGTGGCAGCAGGACCAGCCTGGGGCCGATTCAAAGGACTCGGGGGGCCACATCCGGCCCCTGGGCCTTAGGTTGCCTACCCCTGGTGTAGTGGTTTGAGTGTTGGAGTATGACTTTGAAGGCCAGGGTTCAATTCCCCGCTCAGCCATTAAACCTACTAGGTGACCTTGGGCAACTCACACTCTCTCAGCCTCAGGGAAAGGCAATGGCAAACCTCTTCTGAACCAATCTTGCCGAGAAAACCCCAGGATAGGTTCTCTTTAGGGTCACCATATGTCAGAAATGACTTGAAGGCACACAATAACGGCAAAGTCAACATATGGAGATAGCTGAGTTAGGAAAGAGTGCAAAAGAACAACACACAAGTTCTGCTGCAATAGACCAAAGATCTGACTCCTAAGGAAAGCCCAGAAACAGAACCTGAGTTCAGTAGCACCCCTCTTTTTGTATTCCCCAGCAATTCGTACAGAGAGATGTCAAATAACTATCATGCCTAGCAGTCTATGGTGTGATCTGCCAAATCTCTTTTCAGGTCCTTATGGCCTAGCTCACATCACCAGACTTCTTTTCTACAAAACAGCCACTAAATTTAATATCTGCAGCATGTGAAATTGCTTCAAATTGTATCATGCGTGGTTATAACAAATAACACTGATGATGATAGTAACAGTGATGGGATGAGGAATATGCAACTCATGATATGTTCATGAATTGCAATTATCATCATCCCTCAATATTGGCTGCACTGCTTAGGGCTGATGGGTTTAGTAGTCTGATCTGACAAGATCTGGAGGGCCACAGGTTCTCCTTCCTGCTTTAGTGATCATGACTCCTTTGCCTAGGAACTAAGTATGCATCTACACTGTAGAAATAATGCAGTTCGATACCACTTTAAGTGCAGCAGTTAGGGTGCTGTCAAACTGCATTATTCCTACAGTGTAGATGCACCCTGAAAGTGATTCTACGTTAGCTCCCATACAGTACAAGTACACAATGGGATAGTGTTGATCTATGCCAAGGGAATTTTGAAACTTCAAGAAATTCCTATTTTTTAAAGGAAATATATTCTTGTTTAGCCATGTAATTTAAGAAGGTGCATTTATGATGTCCAAAATATGAATGTGTGCTTACTTAGTGGGAGAGAAATGTATATATTTGATGTTCTGACATGAAGTCTTCAACAGAAAGAGTGGGAGAGAGAATCCATCAATATTATTAATAGCCACAACCCATTTATTAAACTGAATCTGGCATTAAAATCTGGTCACTCTTATGCGCTATCCAGCATTCGAATGCTGCCAGGTATCTCTGATGTGTGGTAAAGAGCAAGCTGTTATTATGGTCAAGGCATGGCGACGGTGTCTATGAATGGACACATGATCGAAGCTAAGAGGTTCTGTATGAGAAAACTCAGCCTGGTTTTGCCCATGGAGATTCACTGTGAGTTGCTTTCACTGGTAAGCTTCACTTAAGATCTTCTGTCCAGTCAGCCTTCCATATGCATGAATTTTTATCCATGGATTTAAGGATCAACAGCTTGAAAATATTAAAATATATCCATAAATTCCAAAAAGCAAACCTTGATTTTGCCATGGGATACTATTTTACTGTGCCATTATATTTAATGCACTTGAGCATCCACCCACCATACTACCGTTGTTTGTTGAAAGAAGAAGTTGGCAGCAAGAGCTCTCGTAGGCTTAAATCTACTTCCTCAGATGCATTTGGAGGAAGTAGACTTAAATCTAGCAAAGCTCATGCTGCCAGCCTCTTTCTTTCAGTTAGTCTCAAAGGTGCCACAAGATCTCTTTACATACTGATTTTACAGATTAACACGGCTATATTTTTGAATTGTGTATTGAGGTTGAGAAGAAAGCTACGGAGACGCGATCTTACAGGGCCGGCCCTAGCTTGAGGCAGAATGAGGCAGCTGCCTAAGTAGCAAGGGCATGCCCTCCAACATTTCCCAGATGCAAACCAGAATACATTTGCCCAAGTAACATCAGAGGACTTTATCACACCAACCTGCTGCCCCACCACAGCTGAGCTACGTAGTTGAATAATGGAAGCATAACAGTTTGGCATCATCTCTTATCACACTTTTTCCAACAAAAGCGTTTTGGCGATCCATGGCCGCATAATCTGTTCCCCACATGGCCAAACTCTGCCTTCTAGAAGGAAGTGTGCGAATGTGCAATCATGGTTGCCAACCACCTCCTGAAGCTGGCTGCTGTGTCGGGATGACCAAATGTCCTAACTGCAAGGGAAGACAAGGTACCTCAAAATGAAGGGCATTGAAGGAAAATGGAGGACATTACAAAATAAAGGCTAAAAACACTAATACAGGAGCCCCAGTGGTGCAGTGATTAAATGCCTGTACTGCAGCCACTCACTCTCAAACCACAAAGTTGTGAGTTCAACACCAGCCGGGGCTCAGGCTCAACTCAGGCTTGCATCCTTCCGAAATTGCTAAAATGAGTACCCAGCTTGTTGGGGGGCAATTAGCTTACACATTATAAACCGCTTAGAGACTGCATAGTGCAGTATGAAGCGGTATATAAATGAAGCTGCTAATTGCTATTGGTATCGCTAATACAGCGATAATATGTGACTTGAGCATCCACTGAATCTGGTATCCATAGGGGGGTCCCGGAACCAAATCCCAGCAGATACCAAGGGCCCACTGTATTCCCCTCTCCTTTGTCTCTTGAGTTTCCATTCTGCCCATCACATCACACATTTGAACTCGGCACCTGCCCCCCTCCGTGACTTGTCAGCCCACCCCCTCTGTCGTCCTCACATTTACCTCTACCTTGGCTTCCTTCCCCGCAGACACGTCCCACCCTACCACCCCCAGTCGTGTTTGTCATGATCTTTTCCCGGAGAAAAGGGATGAGGTCAAGAATTGGAAAGCGGGAGAGAAGTGGGGCAGAGGGAAATGCAGGTTTGGACAGAGAGAAGAGGGAAGGCTGAACAGCAAGATGGAGGGGAGCCAACCTCTTCTGTCACCTCTTTTCCTCTCTCCCTCCCGGCTCATTCCTTTGCTTATTACTACAAGAGCTGATGCATTCTTTACAAGATAGGAACACATTTTCATTGTAGGATGGAGATCAGCGCCAATGATTCCTTGGAGGAGAGAAGGCTGCAGATATGTTTCCTGGATGCTACTCCGGGCCAGTCAGCTGTAGACTAAAAGTGAAGCTGTTTGCAGGCCATGTAACCTCTACCACCAGGATCACCCCAACCGCCAGGACTGCAGGATGCTGCATCTGCACTGCAGAAATAATGCAGTTTGACACCGCTTC